TTTATCCCGGGTGTAATATCGCACATTTCATTTGTCTAATGTTTCTACTACTGTCTGGAGACACTCTGTGACTTCTGATTGTATAATTCTTGCCTGTTTATCCTTTTTGCTTGTATTATTATTTCTACTTTGGCATCTTTAACCATTTAAAGTAGACGCAAATAGTCAAATGTTCACAGCATTTGTTGTACTACATTCCAGTTGCTTTTAATGCTGAGTAAGAATCTAGTTAATTGCGTCAGAGGAACAAACTATTATGGAAATGATATTAATTGAAATTATTAATAAAAATATTTTTCATTATTGGTTAATGAAAATCTACAAAGAGCATTGGCAATACTAAAATTTTCTAATGAACACATTTGTAGTTTGCAGAAGTAGTTGTAAGTCCTAGTGAATACAAGAAAAAGAAGTGAAATGGCTAAATACGTTACCGTTAAAATCTAAGTTTAGCAATGCGGAACTGATGTATGTGGATCAGTTTTCCTCAGTAGTAGGAATACACTTTAATTGGAGTATGTTATTCTACCGAAAGCCGGCACAGGTGTAAAGCTGTTGACATTCAATCAACAGTGTTATTGTCTCCAGAATGAACGATTATAACGAGAATATCTCAGTACAACAGAATTTATGCTCATAATAGAGCTGAACATGAAACGTAATAAACTTCCATATAAGAAGAATGCACACATCTAATAAAACTCATCTTGTTTCTGCTACTTGAATCGGCAGAGAAGACTTGTACATCCTTATTCAGTATTGCTAAACGTTAAGTGTAACTTTTAGTAAGCTAAAATACAGATTTTAATATATGTACATATTTACCGGCGGGAATACAATGTGTTATTGGTCTACGAGCTCGCCTTGTAACTAGAAGGTCCTGAGTTCGAACCCCGGTGGGTGCGTACTGATGAAGAGTCTCAAACTAGGACGAAACAGTTGTCCAGAACTCCCAGGTTTTCCAATGGTTCTCTAACCAATGCCAACTCATAATGAAATCCTGTAACCAATCAGTCAAATCCCTACAAACCAATACTTGAACAAATAAGGCTTCCAAAACAAGAACTTTTAGTTTAGAATTTTGTTTGATTTATGTCACAAACAGGCTTTTAAAAAACTTGTCTCTTATGTTTATGTTTTCTTATGTAATGGGAATTTCGACTACTTGTCATTAGTGTAAATAAAAGTGTAATTCTACCTTTTAGTTTTCAACTATTCATGTGAATATTGTGAAAAGAGATCAAATTTCTTCTTGTTGCCTTTCTGAAGAGTTTATATACTCGTTATCCTACTAGATCAACCAATAATGAGGTATTTCTGAAGTTATTGACCTAGGACTCCAGTTAAAATTTTGACTATTAGAAAGACTAGATTGTTGCCTGCTGATTCTGGATGAGAAAGTAATTAAGTTGACGTTGAGTTCAGTAACAGCGGTTCATATTATAATTTTGCTTATAAATGTAAGTATACCAAATAAAATATGGCAAAACTTATTACATTTTGAAAGTGATACATTGAAATTAGAAGTGTTGAGGCAGTTGGCTTCAAACAACATACACATAATCTTCTTGAGACATTTCAAAGAAGCAATGACGACTGGATTGACAGCATAATATGATGTTATTCTGTATCAGCTGCAGGCTACCCAAGAAGTACAGGGGTTATAAAATAATTAGAGTAACATATTTCAGTATTCGGAAGATGATAGTGAAAATGCAAGTATCACAATATTTTCTAGTTAAGATCATCAGTTTGTATGCATTTCAGTGCAGAAATAGCTTAATTTATAACATTTTCTTTGTCCCAATATTGATGTGTGTTATAACCATTGTAATTTCAAATAGTCTGCAGCTGATAATAATCCGCGAAATAAAATGACGGTGTTTTATAATGCAAATTTGATATTTCTTCTTGTCTTGAAAGTTTTACATGATTAGTGCACCATGTTTAGTACCCCCAAGTGTCATCAGTAGGGTAGTTAGACAATGCAAATTCTGCATTACTGGACAATCACTCAACATACCCTTGGACTGTATACTTGCCCATAAAGCTGAACAACATGTCTGGTTACGTTTTTTTTGGGAATAGTCGATTTCAACCGCCTAGACATATCGACGATAAGAAATTCCACTAAGAGAATAGTAATGATGTCTTTCAAAAGTATTTGAACACTTCGAGTTGGTTAAAGATTATAGATTTGCGCATAAAAAAGTGAAAACACTTCCTCACTGACTTTGGCTGTTGTCAGCATGATATCATAAACTGAAAGCATACTTTAACACTTTAATAAAAAATTTCTTTCTTTTTCATTCATTGGGAAACATAAAACTTTCAAAATGATGAATAATTTAACACTGTTCATACTTGTAATTTAGAGTTAGAAGTTATGGATACTAAGTTTGAATCTCAATGAGAATTACTATCACTCACTAAAGAGCTGGTACATCCAACTGGGAAATCCCAAGTAGGATAAAAGCACGTCGTGGTTCCCATCTCTAGGCAGAACCAGGGTCCTGTAATACTGTCTTTAAAAGAAGAGGTTTTTGGAATATTTAGTCAAAATAGTTGGAGAAACAAGTTTGATTTAAGTCAGAATACAGCATTTAATATGCAATGGGATGACATCATATATTATGCATAAATAAAATTTTAATGAAAAAAATGAATTAACTGGAATAAGTAATAACAAATCCACTCCGGTGAATAAAAATCAATAGATGTACTATAATAACATAAAAAATATCATGATATAAATCTAGTTGTCAGGGCAGATCAAAGGTTGCAGTAACTGAAAAAAGTGAGTTTTCTATTTGTAGAACAGGGACGACGACATAATGTGTAGAATGCAACTAAAGTTTTTCAGAAGAAGATAAAACCAGTCTACCTGCTGGCAAAGGTGTGGGCTAGACTTCAGTTTATGACAAATTCAGGATTATGCGGGCTGAAAAAAATGCCCTGTTCCAAAGTGATCATTTATCCTACAAATTCTCGTAGTTAGATTAATCAGAAGAACTTGATGCACGAAGTCAGCTGGCTATTTAACTGTACTGTGCAATCTTTAGCATAGGTGATATTCAAACGCATGTTTAAATGACACTTCGGAATTATTTGAACTAAGAGGAAAATTCTCTGTTAATTTGACTTCATATTTTAAAAGTGTTTCAGCTGTCATTGATGAATCGTCGTGCAATTTTTCACTCTTAACTTCATAATTCGTCAAAATAATAAAAACGAACACCAAGTGTTTATAGCACAGTAAAAGGAGTGATTGGGATGCAAACGAAGGATAAGCTTGATAGTTTTGCCACATCTATGTGCATTTATCAGTTCAACTGCACCTGCGGTGAAAGTTGTGTTGAGCGTACTACTAGATAGCTTAGCCAACGTGTTAGTGAACACTTCCCATCGTGGTTTGGCAAAGGACAGACAAAAACAATCCGTAGCTCGATTTTGTCACATTTAGTTGATAGTGGTCATGTAGTGAAGAAAACAAAAGCTTTCAAGGTAATTCATCTTATTCCACCGAACCTTTCTAATGGACTTCGTATTAGTCTACTGCACGTAACTGAGGCGATAAGCATTCGAACTATTAAACCTAAACTATGCATTCAAAAAAGTTCTTACAGCCATTATCCTTCCTTTGGCCTATTGAGGCATAACCAACTGATGGCTTTCCCACCACACTTTAATTATATTTTCAACCCTTCTCTTATCATCCCTTAATCTTATCACATCTTCATTAAAAACATATTTCATTTACTTTCCTTACAATCTATCGTTACGTAATCAGTTCATTCGTATTTCTTAGCCTTTATCGACTAATTCAACCTGAAGGTTTCTTTGTTTAATCATGCTGTTTTCCGTTATTGTTATTGGTAGAACCATTATTGTTATTACTGCTATTATGACTAATTACACAATTTATATATTCACCATCTTATTATCCTATAGACAAAACACCATGATTGGTTTATATTTCAATTTTTATTGGTAAATTTATGTATATTAGAGTTAAGCCTGGTGAGATTTAATTGAGAACAATATTGTTCGCTTAAATGTGTTGATCTAAATTTGACTATGGGAATATTAAATATATTGAAAAGGAAATAACTGAGAAGCTTTTTGAAACTCATTTTCAATATGTTAGGCTAGCGAATGCCCAAACTTTTCACCGGACGTCACTTTTTTTTCTGTTTAAAATTTTCGATCATTATCAACATCATAGGATGTATTTTAATGTATTACTAATTATTTAAGCATTTTAATTCTCATTCTTTGTTCTATATATGTGATAAGTACATCTGGAACTATCTACCTTACTCTTACACTGACCTCCATTTAATGACTAATTCGTGACATGAGTAGAAAAACTGACTTTAATAACAGGCCTTCAAACTGGAATTTCGCGACTAAGTATAATTTTCTGAAATTCACCTTACTGGATCTAGAACTCACTTACTAGAATATATAGAAATACACTGATGGAATATTCAAGTGACATTACACTGTAGACAGATCCTTGAGCCAAACCCTAAAAGGAAGTAACGAAGTGAGCATCAGTCTGGGGGTGATATGTAAGAGGTCATAGGATAAGGAAATGAAAGCCTGTGAACAGTTGTGCAGTTGTTTGAAATCGATGAAAGAGAAACGACTGCGATGGAAACGTGCTGACAGAGTTAAATTTTGCTCTGAACTGAAGGAATGAGTAGCTATAGATCTTCTCAGCTCCAGACAAGGACTTCAGTAAATGGTTTTGAAAAGGCTCAAAATATGATGTTTTTGTGGTACCCTGTTCGTTTGTAAAAGGATTCTGGATTTAAAAATATACTTGCGATGAACATGTTTATATTAAATGATTGATTTCTCTTTCAATAAATGTTTAAATGAATTCAGTTTATATTTGATTGATAAGCTTATGTAAAGGGATGTTATTTTATTCTATAGGTGTCATATTTCTTTTATCTATCATTCACTTAATTCGTCTGAATTTTAATTTTTAGGCTTTGAATACAGTGATCAAGCAAAAGTGCTCAAATACTTCAGATGCCTTTTATTATTGCCATCATTTTAATCATTCATATTGGCGACAACAGAAATGTCGACTGTCTAATAAACTACAATGTAAAAATAATGAAAGTGCTCTGTGTTTTTCTTGTTCTCATATGTCATATAATTGTGACAAATTAAATTTATCATCTGTCAGACAAAGAATGAATTCTACAATAACATTAGAAGGTGTAAATAAAAAGGAATATTCCTATCATTTACCTGATTTTGGAAATGCTATTCAACCTCTCAGTTATGTAACATCATCTATACAGAAAGGAGAAAACAGCATACTCAACCAGGAATTGTTATTGAATGTAACAGACCCGATTTATCTGTGCTCCTTATTAAATGACCTATTCAGAGAATATGAACATATAAGTGAGTTTTATTTTTTAATGTCAATATAAGTGTAACATTTATGTAAAATTTAGAAATATAGTGCTTCTATTAGGATGAATTACCACGCGAGCGATAAACCTGGTAGAGTTTTATTTTTGGATATCATTAGCTTCTTGGAAATTTGCTTGTTAGTATGAGTGTCCTGCTAAGTAGAAGTGGATATCCGAATAATTTTGTTCATAAAAGTCGAAGGTGCCGACTGTTCCCAAAAAGTCTGTCTTCCTAAGGTCACAATTCACTGGTGATGTTAATAGTGAGATCTTATCACAACGGCTGAGAAGGGTCTTCAAAAAGACTTTCAACTCAGCTGAGTTATACTGTATATTCACTAGCCGACCAATAATTAGTTCAAGAAATAAAGGCAAACTGCCCTTTTTCGCCTCTTCCATATGTATTTATCAGTTTAACTGCTCGTGTGGAGCCAGTTATATTGGGCGTACAATGAGGCAAGTTCATTGTCGGATTTCTGAACATCCTCCATCTTGGCCTGGCAAAGGTTCAAATAAAGCAATGCTTAGCTCAATACTAGCTCGTGTCGTAGATACTGGACATTAAGTCAACTTTTAAAGTTATTTGTGGTATACCACTCAACCTCTCGTATGGTCTGGGAGTGCGACTTTTACATTCAGTAGAGGCAATCAAATTTCCATTATAGGTAGCATTTATTTTTATAAAGTCTCACAGTGCTATACAGTAATATTTACTGATGACGTTTCATATCAAGGTGATGTGATTATGAGCAATAAATTATCTTTGAAATGTCATCAGTAAATATTACTGTATAACACTGTGAAACTTTATTAAAATAAATTTTACCCATTATGGAATCATACTCTACCACAGTGCACAAGTTTTTTTCTTATAGCAATCGGATATCATCTGAACAAGCCAAATCTGTGTGTTCAAAAGAAATTTGTACAGCCCCTTTCTTTGCCATGGTCAACTACATAACATGCATTAAGTTTTTAAAAACGAGTTTTCCCCTCCCCTTATAATTAATTACCTTTTGACTTTGTTAATTTCTACAATTTTCACAATTCCAGCTAATTCTATTAACTTGTTTGTGTTTTATGTAATTCTTCTGAGTCATCCCATTCTTCTTAATCATAATTATTTTACAGTTTTCTTGATTATTTAATATATTATTGCTAACACCTAGGAATCCCCTTATCTTGAGTTCCTTAATTAATTTTCACCCATCCTTCAAAACTTAGATATCTTGTTACTAACATCTACTAGTTAATTGTTTCATGACTTTTAACCTCTGATTTCCAGCCATGTATACCTAAAACTAATTAACTAAAATAACCACTTGATTAGTAAAAATGTTGATGTAAAACTATATATTCGTGTAGAGTCAACCGATGATGAGGAACTAATTGAAAAGGACTGCATATTGCTTCGCTCAATCTGTTTTTTTAAAATTTGCATGTTAATTCACGATATGCAGTTTACGCAGTTCGAGGTGAAATTTCACTGCAGTCTTCTTTGGAATTTGATCAAAACATGTGATCTCCTTGATACCATTAATAGCAATTAAGGAAGCATGTATTAAATATTTACTATCCTACCGGCAGCCTGCTTAAATCACTAGTCTACTAGAATTTCCATCCATCAAAGTGCTTACACTCTTCTACACTTCTTTTTGTTTTAATCGTGCAATTATATCAAATGACCGGTATATGAACTCTCGTACATATTTAATTAGTTTCCAACTATGCCCTATGGAATTTTCGAAGGAATTGAAGAGAAAATGTACGGAATTGGTTCTCCCCTCACAAATAGCAACACTACAACAAATGATGTACTTAAGATTATTCCTTTACATGTAGATTCTGTATAAAGAGCAGATATTTTGGAATGAATTAAGCTGAAAATTTCTGTAATACATGTTCACATATTTTCTGAAATAAAGCCTTACTATTATTTTTAGTTGCATGATGGTATATACTACTGGTTGAATAATGACAGTGGTATTAAACTACTCTTATAAATCAATCAGTAGTATATGCCGTCATCATACGCTTCAATTCAGTCTTCTTACATGTAAAATACATTTTATTCGTGCCAGAACTTGTTGTATGAAACAGGATTTAGGATATTACAACTATGATAAGTAGTAGTGCTGAAAGTTTCAGACAGAAAATGTTTCTCAGCAAAGAATATTGTTTTGCTCTACAGTTTCATACTAACTGCCGTGAAGGTTTATAATTTTTCGGAAAATTTAACGTCTAAGCATTAATTTGAACTTTGGTGTTCTATGTTTTGTACTATTCAGAGGAGTTCTAAATTGGGTTCATCACTCAGTGCACGTTACACTCAAACATATTTGTGTCGTCATACACAGCTATGTGGTACCCTTCAAATTACCCTTATCGCTATAGCACTTAGTCACATCTAGTAATTAGATGAATTGATCATTTACTGTGGGAGGATGAATATTTATTTCTTGTCAGTTAAATTTTTCACTTGCACAAGCAAGCGTCATTCAAGCCTAATTCATCCTTTCAATCCATGCATATATTATTGTTCTTTATTCACTCGTGAGTTCATTAATATTCACTGTATGAATTTTTATTAATTTCTGAAAAAAACAACAATAACAAATTCAATGATACACGTTCCCTGCTGTACTGCACACGTCGACAATAGATGGACACGAAGGTGGGTTAAAATAAAATAAAGCAAAAAATGAATACCACTATACTTTTTCCAATAAACAGCATATTTTATATTTAACCAACCCGTCTTTTACTAGACGTTTGAATAATTCTGTCTCTTATTTTCTCTATACATGTTAATAAATAAGAATAAAAAGTGGAATACCGGCGACATCTATTCATTTTCTCATAGTTATTTTTATACATTCATGTATATGCCAAAAAGCCATAAACAATCTCATACCATTGAGTCTACCTCTGACTGATTACCTTCTACGTTTCATATTCTCTGAGTTTGTTATTTTCATTTTTTGGTTAACAATGAAATATCGTTGTTAATCAGTCGGTTTTCATGTTTATGCCGACGTATAAAAAACAATAATGCAGAAATCAAATAATAGAGAGGAAAATAAAAGCAACATTATAAAAGAAAGACAATAACTACTCTTCAATAAGTCTTTAACAGAAAGTTTCACTGCATTCACAATGGGCTGCTTTACTTTGCTACTTTTTCAGATAAATAGTTCTAACTGTTTACTGATTGTTTGAATTAGTAATAGTGATTTATTTGTCCGTTACTATCATTAATATATATATCTACCGAATAGTGTTACTTAAGTTTTTGTACATTTTTATAGTATGGTAATTGTCGCCGACTGTGCCTATGAAAGGATTTCATTAATTGAGGTCATTTAGTCTATTCAACCTGTAGTCGGTGATTTATTATCGGTTTAATGGGCCGTTATTGTTTAGTAAACAAAACTGACTTTTATTTATTTGTTTATTTATCAGCTTTGAAACCTGATAACTAAAAAACAAATTTTGGGTTATTGTTTTAGGGATTTTGATTCACTTCAGTGTAGATTTCATCATGATCCGAGATCAGTTATAGATATATTTAGCTTCGATTAACTTTCTATCTTATACCGGTTCATGACAGAATTTACTGTGTAATTGTTTTAACCCCTATAAATCCTGAAAACCTGAGAATTAGTCTGTCATTCACCAGCGGTTACAGTATAATTATACTGAGATTCTAAGGTGAGGAATGGACCTGTCAGATCTATTAATATGACCTGTGGAGTAAGTGCTAATCTGTAAACTGGTGGCGGTAGCACTATCTGACTAAATGACAGAATTTACTATTCACAGGTTATTCAACTGGTTGACCTTTGAACCCGGATATCCTGAATTCTACTTCATGGCAGGCTTGTGCGCGTATACTGTTGAATAGTTTCAAACTAGGATGAAGCAATTATCCAGTACTCCTTGATTTCTAGTTGTCCCTTAACTGATGTCAATTAGTGATAAATCGTTATTCGCTGCTATCTTATTATATGTGGCTGATAAATCGTGGTTCTCTTGTAATTAACATAATTCCCTGGGTTGCTGCTGACAGGGTTTATATATATAACTGTCTGGATAAGCAAAATATTGTTTGTGCCCAAATTAAGAAATCTAAATTGTGAAAGTGATTGATTGACTTTAAGAATATAACGAATTTATACTGCCTCTGAAATTTTTATGAAATTGTACTGAAAGCATAAAATAACTTGACAATTATCCTAATATTTGCATTATTCCAAGACAATCAATCTCGAAATAAGACAGTTAAGTGCAATGTATGGCTCCTAGTGTCATTTCTTAACGTGTATTCACTATGAAGGTATTTGTTAGATGGTGACTAACAGTGGAATTCTTCCTATTCGGGACTTGCATTCCAAGTGAATGATGATATTCCCATTGAGACTCGAATCCAGTAGTCATCATTTCAAATACCACAGTGTTAGCCACTAGACCATTTAGGCCACCTTCTGTTCAATGGGCACCATTTGTTATTTGCTTTTAGTTTGGTCTTGATTTTACCGGTGACTGATTGAACTGACATGTTCGGCTTCTGTTGGCATGTCGGAATGCAAGTACATCCAGATGACGAGACTCAAATGGGATGAAATGCGCATCCTGGATTCCACCGCTAGTCACCATCCACCAATTACTACAGTATGTTAATTTTCAAACATCATTTAAGCGTCCATACAAGGAGCCGACATGTCAACAGAGGCCGAACATTTTGACACAGTCAGTCAAAGTGGAAATCAAAGTTGAACTTTTTGCACTATGTTTGACAGTAAGAGGTAGCAGAAGGCTGCAGTTTCTCATACTGGTATTTGAAATAGAGATCAAAACGGAAGTTTATTTCAAACTGAATTTATGGACTATTAGCTTAATATTTCCAGGTATGGCTGTGTTAAACATGTCGAAGTGATTTGGGACAAATCTTCATCTTGTTGTTATCTGACAACTAAGGGTATAGTTATTATTCGTGACAGAGAGGCACATAAACGTAGTGAAGTAGTTTCCATTTTGGTCACGGAGTGATGTCGTTTATAGAATCATTGGAAAACCAGGGAGTACTGGACAGCTATTTCGTCCGAATGCTTACGACTCTTCAGAAGTACTCACCCTTCGGGGCTCGAACTTAGGACCTAGCAGTTACAACGCAAGTCTGTTGGTCATCCAACCGCTGCGACCCAATCCAACAGCCTAAGAATCTCGACTTCTGAGAATACATGATTATAGCGCGACTACCAGCCACTATCATCGGTCAGCATTTGTCCTCACATAAAGTTGATAATAACAAAGTTTATAAAACTATGCTTCTTTTAACTGACAGTTATTAGCAGTGGAATCGAGGATGCATGTTCCATTCTAAGAGAGTTGCACTCCAATTAAATAAACAATAATAGTAGCTTTATTTTGAAAAGATTCACTTATACGTATTTAAGGATTTTCAGTTTATACTTTTGCAAATTAGTAATCACTAATGTGTCATTTAAAGTAATATTGCTCAATCGAAAGCACGCTCTAACAACCTATTATGATTCCTCTCCATTGTCTTTAAATAAAAACCATGGTGGTAGGCTGGAGCCTAATTGGAATTAAGCATTAGTACGAATTACTGTTGGAGGATAACATGGAATAGAGTGAATAAGATGCATTTCAATGGATTACAAATTAGGCGACTCAGTGATTCAATCGAATCACTAAATAGAAAATACGAAATAACCGGAACAAAGTTTGACTGTAATGTTGTCGAACTGGTGCTTTTTTCCATCGTAAGAATAATGTGGATTTTATCAAGAATGTAAATGTGGATTTGTTGACTTAAGAAGAAGAAGAAGAAGGGGAACAGATTTATTCTGTACAATCTCTTTGAACATAACTCAGGTTTCCCAGTGTATTGAAATTGCAAAATATTTATTCTTTGTACAGGATCTTGTAAAATAGTACTCAACAACACATGATGTGATGTTATATTCTTCCTTCTTAAATAAAATTCACTTTCCTACTACTCTATATCTTCAGGGACGTTGATAGCTAATTAAAAATGTGTGTCAGTCCAAGTAACTATCCAAATATATAATTGGAAGTTGAAGGGCTTAAACATTGAGATCGACGAAAATTTTGACAGCCTAGTGTGATTTTAACAGGCCACCGGAAAGTCTAAGCTTCAGTCGTTTCCTAGTTAATGTCGACTCGTTAGGAGAATTCAAATCAGAATAATTCATATACCCACCACACCAATTCAGCTAAATTACCTACATTTAAATGTGAAAATGATAAGTTAAGTGCATTAGATTCTATTTCATAAACCTGTTTACTTACCTGCTTATGACTGACATGTTATTATCTCGCTAGATGAAATGATATGCATTTAGACGGTAGACAGTAATTAGGATATTTATGGGATTATAACTTTTACACTTTTATTGAAAACAAATAGATTGCTTTCAAGTAATACTTGGGAGAATAAATAGACATTTGAAAGACAGTAAACAGAATAAGCTAGGGTACTTTTATAAGTGAATGCTGAAACAATAACTATTGGCAGTATTTGGCCTGGTCAACAATAATCATGCACTTCTAAACATTTTCAACCATTAACTATTGAATGTTTACCTCCAGACACTGTTTGGTGAACAGTGCTCAATATTTTCCATAACTTACACATCAGGTTCTACAGTTATATATCTATGTTAGTTAAAGAATAATTTATATTGACAGCATTAATTTTCTTATCCATATCCAATTATCAAGATCAGAAATCCATGAAGCATATATGGGTAACCTATCACTGGGCTACTAGCGCATCCACCACTGTTAATCTGTTATACTGTGGAATTTATAAATTCAAAATTTTCTCATTACGTCATAACTTTTAGACACAAACGTTGGTTTTCCAGTTTCGCCACGGATTGTTATCAGTTAGAGAATCATTGAAAACCATGGAGTACTGGACAGGTGTTTCTTCCCTCTAGTTTGAGAATCATCAGCGATACGCGCCCACTGGGTTTCGAACCTTCCGGTTACAAGGCAAGCTCGTAGATCATTCAATCACTGGGACTTGGTTCAGTGGCCCATGAATTCTAAACTATGGTTTCCTTGCATACCTCATATTTACTTTTCAGTAACATCAGCCTGATTCATTCACGTTTATGTATTTATGAGTATACGCATAAAACTTTTATTTTCCTAGTTTAACCTTGGTTATTCCACTATACACTAACACACAAACACATAAGCTTCTGTTCTTATTTCTCTCCTCACGTTTTGATTCTATCATTTATTCATACGAACCTTATAACGTCACGGAAAAACGTTCGATTTCAGCTCTAATCAAGTACATACCCTAGCATATATATCCACTGTTATTCCTGATCATATACTTTGATATTTTTAAAAATTAATTTTACTTTCAAGCTTGTACACTAAAGTTTCATCAGATGTAGTGTTTTTTTACGGTGTGAGGTTGCTAGGCTAGTGCGCATCTTTCCCTATTTATCACACTCACAACCGGATAGGCGACATTAAGGACTGTGTTGGTCAGGGTACGAACCCGTGGCTCTTTGCATGGTTGGTCAGTATTCTACCTCTGAACCACCAGCGCACATTTAGTTTGATTTCTGATATTCAATTTAGTTTTATATGTATGCATAATGTTGCATATACATGTTTTGCATTAGTAACAATTTTCTCGTACGCAACTCTGGAATTTATTATCCGAATAATTGACAGAAGAAGCGTCAAAGGCAGGATTTCAGGTAAACATAGAGATAACAAAGGTGATGAAGATTCCTGAACAGCGGCAACAGCAACAATGGGAGAAACCTGAAAGAAGCAACCTCTTTCACCTACTTAGTTGGGAAACATTGTCGTTTCAACTAAAGTCGGGCGGAACTGATGAGGATATCAAGGCGAGGATTGGAAAAGCAAGGCAAGCTTTCATTTCTCTCAAGTCTTTGTGGAGACCAGCAGCGTTCAGCATGAAAAATAAGATAAGGATTTTCAACTTCAGTGTGAGGTCAGCGCTATTTTATGGATCAGAGACTTGGCGCATCATAAACACAAACAAACTACAGACCTTCATCAACAGCTGTCTTCGCTCGGTACTCAAGATCAGATGGCCAGAAACAGATCAGTAACAAGGATGTCTGGGGACGAACCAACCAGGAACCGACTGTTCAACAAATATGCAGGAAGAAATAGAGGTGGACTAATCATACTCTGAGAAAACCATCGGGTGACATCACACGCCAGGATCTCGAATGGAACCGAAATAGGAAGCGGCAAGTTGGTAGTCCCAGGGTGACATGAAGGAGGTCATGGGTAGAGAAGATGATAGCATGTGGGCAGACGTGGAGTCAGGTGAAAACGTTGGCAGAGAACCGTACGCAATGGAGACATGCGGCTGAAGCCCTATGTTCCTCTAGGAACTAGAGGAAAAATATATATATATATAATTGGATGTTATGAAGAAACATTATTTTGTTGTCGACACAAATTGTTACTCAACAGACATACAATTATTATTGTAGAACTTGATGAGATATATATATATCGGAAGCAATAAACTTTGTTAACGAATGAATGTTTTGAAATTTACAATGTGTTTCTTCAGGTAATTATAGTGTTCATCTATTTAAAGTGAATAATCCGTATAATAAGTGCTTCAGATTATTTCTGTAATAACTCTATTAGAAAAGTACCACTTTACATTATGATGTTTTCTTTACATTTGGTAGATGGCTCCTTAAACACTGATAAAGAAGTATCCAGTGTGCAGCCAGTTCAAGAAGAATTGAAGTAAGTCCTAGAGAATTATCTATTTTCATAAAATATATCATCCGAAATCACTGAAAGTAACAGTTTTTATTTTCATATTAAACTTCAATTCAACTAACAAATATGCTTCATAAGTGCAGTTGAATTACACAGATGGCTTTTCTAGTATGTCAAAACTCTCTTCTGGTGACTACCAGAACACCAATCAGAAAACAGGACTACTGACTAGAGTTCAAGCATTTTGACTGTTGTGTCAAACACCTATAAAATCCAGAACGCAAAGTTTTAATGAAAGATATTCTTTCATGCATTATTTAGCATCACTTTACTTATTGTATTACCACATTTCAGCATAATATTTTAACATCATAGAAAGGTCATTAATTCGAAAGTCTTGATGAATAAGTAGAATCATGTATAAAGTGTTGTCTGTTGTCTCATAAATACGTTGAAATTTCTATGGTACACCAGTTTAAGTTTCATTTTGGTGAAGAATTCGCACATAGAACCACGCTGTGGATGCATAACTCTGACAGGAACAAGCTGGATTCAGAAAAAGGCAATGATGTACAGATGAATACGAAGAGTTATGCATCATCAGCAAACACAGCATGGAATGACAGCCAACTCTCTATCTCAGCTACATTCACTATGAAAAGCGCTTCTATAACGTCAACTAGGAAGTGATTCACAAACTACTTCAGTACTAAAAGGCACCCCAAACTTTTATCACCCTCATTCAACAGTTACATGTTTATGCTGCATGTCAAGTTATTTGTAGCTGAAAACTCAGTGAATTTTTTTGAAGCAGAGTGAGAAATAGGGAAAGGCGGCCTACTCTCATCAGTGATATCTCTGATTTCGATGCACTGGATTATACAGCAGATTGTGGGGCATACGTTGGATTGACAAGAATACTCTAGAAGATTCGAAGGTCGCGGATGATTTATATCTGATGTGGCATAAACCCAAATACCCACAGAAGAAAAATCAACAAGTTGGCGATGGAGGCAGACAGTGAAGAAAGGACTTCAAGTAAAAACAGAGAAGATGGATGTGATTAAGATACCTAACCAACAGTAGGAATCAGTTCCCACCAACGAGAGAGTTCTAAAAGAGGGAACCTCACCCACTCACATTACGAGGCAGCACTGTTTCAAATACAGGCAGCACATATGAGGATTTTGGAAATACAAGATAGACCTTCAATAATCTGAGACCGTTTTGGAAATGTGCTGCAAACAGAGTCAGGAATAAGATTCGAATTCCCACCAATAATGTCAAGTTACTTCTTCTGTATGGTCCAGAGAGTTGGCGTGTCACCAAAAGCATTTCCAACAGGCTTCAGACATCCATCAACAACCACCTTCTCTCGATACTTAAAGATCAGATGGCGGGCTAGAAAGGCTTAACAACAAACGAACCAACGTAGGAGATCTGACGCAAAAATCCTGTATTCCATTCAGAACGCAAGGGAATAATAACAATTAAAATAAGAAAGTCCTGTTAAGTAGCTTTATTCAGTTAGTATGATTTTTATCAGACAAATATTTATTCCACTGTGGGATTATATTCTCGAAATATACACATTAGATCGTAGGAATTATTGAAAAACGGTTGCAGCGAAGAAAATTTTCTTTTCGACGAAGTCATCAACTAGACTGTACGTTCGTTTATTTATAATAAATGGGTAGGAAAGTTCCAGAATAATTTCCGGTCAAGGGTCAAATTAATACAATTACAATAAGGAATTAAAATGCCATAATAGACAAGGGGACGGATAAAACTGAAATAAAGTATCATCATAATCACTGAGAAGATTGACATATTGTGCAACTGGGGTTTAGAAATGTGGAAACAACAAAAGTAGGCAGGATGTTTGGATAAAAAATCTAATGGGATCATGACTAATGTGACGAATAATTGTTTATGCAGAAATAATAAAATGACAAAATAGACAGGAAGTTGTGATATAAAAATATGGTAGTGTAAATAGGGATTAAGAAAAACCTAAAAATAATATGAATAAACAGGAAGTTTGTATAAGAAAGGCGATGGGATGGTCACTACTAAAAGAATTACCTGTTTATCATAACCATGGAAAGGATTTTTTGATTTTTGATTATAGCTTGGTACAAGTATGAAATTTTCAGCATATGATATCGGTAGCCCAAATTTGCAGGTTGACCATAGATATCAGGTGTGCGTCGGCAGTTGATCGAACCCCGGACCATGTGCATGGTCTGAGAGAGTCCTAACCACTGTGCTACCGATGCATACAAGTGGTGTCAAGAATGGGACGTATTTCTTTTGGATAAATAGCGTGGGTTTGAGGTTTTGGATAGCTAGTGCCTCGGCTATGCCCAGATGTTTTAATTTTATTCCCTTTGATAGGTTTGATCGAATCTTGTATATGACTTTGAAGGATTTCTCGAATGGTGCTGACTGTCCTGAATTGACTAGATGTTCTGTCACTAAACTGTAGACACGTTTTCATTCTCCTTTTACTAACCAGGCTGGATATTGTTCTTGAGTTCGTTTTTCAGGTTGGTGGATGGTACGGCCAATGTTCTCAGCCCTGCACGGGCAAGTAAACTGGTATGTGCACGTTGAAGCGGCCCAATGCGACGGCTTGTCTTTCGCGTTCTGGCTGAACAGTTTCTTGCAGGAAAACGTTAGTCGTAGGCTCGCGGCGAAGTATGTTTTCCTCAGAGCTTTTTAGAGGCGTTTACGAAGGATTTCTGCTTCAATGTCATCTTTGAATTTTAGATTAAGCTGAAGTATCTTCTTCGGGACGGAATGGGCTTTTTCGGAAGTCTTCTTTGATTTGAGATTCTTGTCTATGAGCCTATATTCTCAGTAAATAATTTATCCAAATTAACCTCTGAACATCATAAACTTGCTTACATATTGTTGAGTAAAGCTTTTTTGTACATTTGAATACATGAGGCAGAGTATTCGTTGAACCATTCGCTTGTTCCGTTAATATCTCAACTAGACGAGAGCACTTTCCATAATTCAATAAGTTTGACAATAATTGTTCGGTTTAAAAATCACTCATTTACAATGAAACCAAGTCAGGATTTATAAATTATACTTATAATTGACGTTAACATTGTGATCAACTTTTCAAAAGCATAAATGATTTATTTGTATAATGTATAGTCCATTCACTGGTTTGATGTATCACATAACTGGGTGGAAGTTCATAGTTTTGCAGAAAGTCATAAAGTTGTTGTATAAATAAAAGCAGTGTGCACCTACATTTATATGCGTGTTTGCGTGCATGTAACGTTTCACACCTTTTACTACTGAAATAAGTTCTCTCCGTTTTATTCTCAACCCCCCAAGACAGATGGTATATCTGTAAGGAATTTGTATGAATTACTAACAGCATGTGTTGACTGACAAAAGAAGGAAATTGTTTTCAACTATTTTATCATTCTTATGACTAACATTCATGTCGATCTACCAAATAATTATACTTCATAAGCATAATGATAATAATGATAATAAAATGTGTTAGATCGTAAACAGTGTTTACTTTTTAAGGTTTTATGTGTTTATTTAGTTTCATTGTTTGTTTGAAGAATTTTCATGGAAAATTTCCATGTTGGTGAGACTTTATGTTTTTACTGCAGCAGTATACCATTTTAGGCATCGAGTGTTGACGTGTTTGCAAGAATATTAAGTAGGACACTATTTACCGCTTATATTTTCTATAAATATATATATATATATATCAGTACTCTTGATTTTATCTTAACATGTTACAAGTTGAGATTTTCCACTTTATGGAAAGAATTTATGTGTGTAAAACTTGAATTCTGCTGTAAATTAAAAGGAACCATTAAGATTGTTTTCTGTGCACTTTAGAATTAGGTTGTTGGAAAAGATTGACGATTAATTATTATTACTCCCATGGGTTCCAAGTAGAACATAAGGCTTCAAAGTCGTCTTTTCATTTCACTCAGTTCTTTGCAGTCCTTTCTAGCTAGACGTGCGATTACGCATAAGGTTTCATCTCCTCGTCACATGAGCATGTATATGTCACTCTCAGACACCGAATCTCCGTCTGCCATTCGTATCTCACTCAAGAGTCTGACCTGTGATATCTCCCATTGGTTTCCTCAGTGTGCGCCTACTCCGTATCTGCTTCCTTCGGGATATTTGTAGAAAAATAGATTCTTGGTTGGTTCGTTCCCACAGTTTCATGTTGCATATCCTTGCTGGTTATATGATCGTCGACATGGAGCCAACGATGGCAGCCGTTGACGAAAGTCTGCAGTAGGCTGTTGGAAGTGTTTTTAGTGACTCTGAACCATATATAAGCACTGGTTTGATTATGGTGCTGAAAATGTGATTTATTAAAGGTTTAAATTATCTTAGCAGTATACACCTTCATGTTGCTTGCTAAAAGCACGGATACTCAGCGTTTAGTATGATGATTTAAGTGTCCAGCTTATATCAATCTAGGAAACTTTAAAAAAAACACAGAAATTCTTGGATTATTAGCTGTGTTTTGTTCTAAAGTGACTACATCAGCGAATATGTATAGAGGTAAATTCATTACTTCAATAAAGAATTAAATATTAATTTCCATTTTGTCTTTCTTGTTCAGAGTAGTAAAATACAGTCTAAAATAAATTCACTGCGTGCAAAGCAGTTAGCGATTTGCAATGTGCACATTTTGTGGGTTGCAATCTTCACCACAGTTTCCTCTGGAAAACGAATTATTGCAATCACGGTCTGTGAACTGCTTGATACCATAAATGATGATCAAGAAAACAAGCATATTCGTGTAAAATTATATACTACTGATTGAGTGTACACTACTCATATCAACCAGTAGTGTTTGCTGGCTAGATCGAGGTGATCTAAACACTGTGATCTAACTAATAATTTGCTTTTCAAAGAAAAATATGATGGAAATTTCATCTTCCTAACTTTATGCACTGCAAATCACTAATTAAATTGCAAATTGTAAAGTCGATTTATGGTGTCACCGGTTCGCTGAAGGA